CTCCGGTCTTTCAAAACTTTCCAAATGGGAATGAGCCAGAGGCAAAACCCTGGTGGCTTCTTGGGCTTCCTTCCAGGGCACCGTGTCTTGGCCAAAGTCAGTCTCAGGCTAACGATAAGATGCTTTCTAGCAAGAAGCTGACGTCAGACATGCTCTGGTCAGCCCATTGCTGCCCGCAGCCAGGACTAGATGCACTCAGAGCTCTTCAGGGTTGCATTTCCCTGGGGATGTAACTGAAATCCAACTATGTGGAGACAAAGGGCAGCAGTGTCTGGGAAGCCCTGGCCTGGGCTGCTTGCCATCTGGCACTATGGCACTGTGAGGACACTGCTGTACATACACAAACCTGCCCTGTTCTGTGGGGAGGCTGGTTCTTGCCAGGGTAAAATCTTTTTGCCTGGGCAGCAGAGCAGGTTGTCCATCATGCTCTGCCCTTACCCCAGCTGGAACCAGCATCCTGCTCAAAGCATCTTACAAACAGTTCTTCCTCCCAGCCTTTCCATTAGGAGTGATAGTAAAATGGTGTGCCCTGAGTACCTGGGTAAAGATACTGTAAGGAGACTCAGGAATGTAACAGAAGGACCTGAGAGCCCTTGATATGGAACCGAGTCTGGGTTTATCTCAACCCCTTATCCAGTTCTGTCCTTCTGAGCTCAGAGCCCTGTGCTGGATCAGCTGTGTATCCCCAGTGCCATAGCCGCAGAAGGAGAGGAAAAAGGCTTTCCGGGACCCACTGGGTCAAAGCAGGAGGGTAGTTAGGACAGGAAGGAAGGATTTCACGGCGGGGTGCCCCAGCTGGCTGTTGACACCAAGGAACAATGAAGAATTAGAGCTGGAAGTTTTCTGTGTTTGTGTTTGCCCGGGTCCACCTAATTTGACTTCTTTCTCTGTGCAGACATCAATGAATGTGCCCTCAACCCTGACATCTGCCCCAATGGTATGTGTGAGAACCTGCGAGGGAGCTACCGCTGCATCTGCAACCTGGGCTACGAGTCAGATCCCACGGGCAAGAACTGTGTGGGTGAGTTCTGAGCAGCTCCAGCTCCATGTGGCAGGGAACCAGGAGCTCAGGGCTGCTGGGGAGAGGGGAGCACTGCACAGGAGCCTGAGGTGATACAGCTGATGCCCTCAAGCACTGTTCCCGTTCAGAAGAGGGCATAGTGGTGGTGTAGCTCATCTGCCCCATCTTTCTGCCCGCAGATGTTGATGAATGCACTGTCAATCGTCTGCTGTGTGACAATGGACTGTGCCGCAACACACCCGGCAGCTACACCTGCACCTGCCCCAAGGGCTTTGTCTTCAGGACGGAGACAGATACCTGTGAAGGTAACGTGACTCTGAAGGTACCAGAGAACATCTTCATGAGACTAAAGAGCTATGGCCTGAGCTCCTGCCTGAAAGGGAGCTCAAGGTCTAAAGTGTCTTTGGTTCCCTTTTGACCACAGTGGTTTGAACTGGAGCAGATCCAGCCTTTGGGTTTGTGCCTTTTTTTCTCTCCTAGGGGGAAGTTTCACACTTCATTCAAAAGAGTAGACATCCAAACCCAGAACATCTGGACTTTTCAGTGACTGAAAACCAGAACAATTTCCTCTAGAGCCCCAAAATTGTAGCTAAAACCTGACCAAAATTGCAAGTTTTGGCAATTTGGTTGCAAGCTTGCACTTTGGAGTGGGGAGAATGATTTCCTGACCACAAAGTCCTCAAACATTTGAGAATTGGCACTTTGCATGTAAGTGTCTGTTTAGAGGGAGAAAAAGTTTTCTGTAAAGAAGGTGAAAAATGCCAGATTGCCTGGACTGAGGATCCTCTGAGCAGTTGAAAAACTCTTTTTGTCATGTTCTTTTTCGTCTCCCCCCCAGTCTCTGGCCCAGAAAACCAGGTGCCGTGGCACTCACTGACAGCCCCTTTCTTCCCACAGATATCAACGAGTGCACCTCTAACCCCTGTGTGAACGGTGTCTGCAGGAACAATGCTGGTTCCTTTGCTTGTGAGTGCTCCCCTGGCAGCAAGCTGGACCCCAGCGGCACCATCTGCGTGGGTAAGGATGTGACCTTCTACAGGCAGCTCTGGGACAGTGTCTGGTATCAGTAGTGCCTGTCATCACCCCTTGCTGTTCATCTGAAGCAAGTCTTATATTCCTGGCTTGGGGATGGGGATCCTTTGACCCCTCTCTTTCTCATCTAGTGTTTCCTTGGTTGTTGGTAACAATTAACATCTCATTCATGCATCCAGAGAGCCTGAGAAGCTGCAGCCTCAGGCAGTGCTCTGAGCAGTGTGCAGCAGACACAGAAATCCCCAGCTGTGCTACAGCCATGGGATTCCAGGGGATCCTCAGGGCACCAGGATGGTGGGTTCTCACTTATCAGATATGCTGACATTAAGGCAGATCAGGATGAAGGAGATCTCTTCTCCTCAAGATAATAAGGTACCCACTTTCCACTCCTAGATGGTCAGGGACAGCTGGAGGAAAGGACTCTTTCTACCCAGAAGAAGAGCAGGCTGGAACTAGGAGAAGGGCAGGACACAGAACTGATGCAATAGTTGTATCAGAGAGCACAGAAATGCTGCTCCACAGCACAGCAGTGCTCAGGAGACCAGCAGTTTGTGTCCCTGTCCCACAGCATGAAGGATAAAGTGACACCAGAGAGCAATAGTCACACTGCAGCTCCAGGATAGTTTCTTCTTAGCTGCTCCTCATGGCAGCCTGGCTTCCACGAAGCTGGGAACCTCCATCAAGGAGCAGCTCTTCACTCGTGTCTTGTCTTTGCCCCTCCAGACAGCATGAAAGGGACGTGCTGGCTGAACATCCAGGATGGACGTTGTGAGGTGAACATCAACGGGGCCACACTGAAATCGGAGTGTTGTGCCACGCTGGGGGCAGCGTGGGGCAGCCCCTGTGAGCGCTGTGAGATTGGTAAGGCTCTGCTGGCACCACCCTCAGGAAGGCAGGAGGAAGCCCATTTCTTTGCTGACATTCCTCTGTTTTCTTGCAGATACTGCCTGTCCCCGGGGATATGCTCGGATGAAGGGGGTCACGTGTGAAGGTAAAGTGCTGCAGGACACAGAAAACTAGGGTTTTATTGGGAACATGGTCATTCCTTATTGCTGTCCTGCAGCTTTGAGTCTGGTGGGGGATCTACACTTTCTGGCCCTTTGCTGGACTCTCTTCTTCTCTGTCTCATACTGTCGAGTCCAGAACTGAACGTGGCACTCCAGTTGTGCCCTCAGCCATGCTGATTAGGGAGGAAGCATCAACTCCCTCAACCTGCTGGCAACACTCCTAATGCAGCCCAGGATACCACTGGCCTCTGCAGCAAGGGCACATTTCTGCTTCATGTTCAACTTGGTGCCTACCAGGACCCCGGGTCCTTCTCTGCCAAGCTGCTTTCCAGCTGGGTGACCTCCAGCATCTATTAATGTTCCTGGCAGCCCATCTCTCCAGCTTGCCAAGGTCCCTCTGGATGGCAGCATGACCTTCTGGTGTATCAGTCACTCCTCCAAGTTTTGTGCCATCAGCAAATTTGCTGAGGATATGCTTTACCCCATCATCCAGATAACTAACAAAGATGTTAACAGGATCAGACCCAGTACTGGGCCCTGGGGTACACCACTGAACAGCACTCTCTGGGCCCAACCATTCAGACAGTTTTCAATCTATCTCACTATCTGCTCAACCAGCCCGTACATGAGCAGCTTGTGTATGAGGTCCTTATGGGAAGCAGTGCCAAAGGCCTTACTGAAAGTGGACCATGTCCACCACTACTCCCTTGCCTACTGGGCCAGCCACTTCATCATAGAATTGTAACAAGCTCATCAGTCATGACTCCCCCTGGTCCATCCATGCGGACTCCTGCTGATGATATTTTTGTCATTCATGTGCCTGGAGATGGGTTTCCAAGTTTAGCTGCTCCATCAGCAATACTCGTGTTTGTGAGTCCTGGTGTCACTCTATCAGTGCTGTGCCAGCCATGAATATGAGCAACAGGACCACTCTATCTCTGACAAGGCTTTGGAATGTCCTTGCAGAAGTGTTTGGGCATGGCAGTGGCTGTGCATGGTGGGTATGGTTTTCATTGTGACAGGATGCCAGTTTTAGTCTTTTGGGCAGCTCTGGGCTCCTTCCGTCTCCTCCAGGAGCTCCTCAAGGCCCCACTGGGCTTGTCCATGTGCCACTCTCATGCCTGTCTCTTGCTTTTGTGCCAACAGATGTGAATGAGTGCGAGGTCTTCCCTGGTGTCTGCCCAAATGGGCGCTGTGTGAACACGGCTGGCTCTTTTCGGTGCGAGTGTCCAGAAGGACTGACCCTTGATGGCACTGCTAGGACATGTGTGGGTAAGGACACCTCACCTCAGCCACATCCTGGCCGCTGTTCAGCCCTATATACAGTGGTCCAACCATTCCCTACCCACCACGTGCAAGTCTTGAGAACTGAGTGGTGGCACATCATACCTGCTAAGAGCTGCCAAACCTAGCAGCCTAACCACGGCAGGGCTGCCATAGTTTCAAGTCTCCAGGTTCAGCCAGTAATGCAGTCATTTTCCTTGGGTGGACTTCAGGGGTAGACATACAGTTAACCTGACTGGTTAATGACATGGCCCAGCAGCCCTAAACCAAATCCTGGCTGCTTTCTGCACACACTATGACAAAACTCTGCCCTCCATGTGGGCCATCTGCACTACTAACTCCACTGTGGAGGTTCCCTTCTCTGGCCCCGTTGCCAACAGTCACAGGCTGGCCATGTCCATACTATTAAATCTCTCATAGCATCCCAAACAAGGTGGCCTCATCCACATGGCCCCTACCTGGGCATTGTTTGGAGGATGCTCCAGCCAAAGCTGTTCCAGAAACCTTGCTGACTGTGTCACAGGAAATGATACCTCTGGTTGTCCTAGAGGTTGGGTGCTGCAGGCAGGGGTTCAGCTCTGCTCTCTCACCAGATGTGCGTGTGGAACAGTGCTACATGAAATGGGACGAAGACGAGTGCACGGAGCCGCTGCCAGGCAAGTACCGCATCGACATGTGCTGCTGCTCCGTGGGCTCAGCCTGGGGCATCGACTGTGAAGAATGTCCCAAGGTTGGCTCCAGTGAGTACAAGGCCATCTGCCCAAGGGGACCTGGCTTTGCCAACCGAGGAGACGTGCTTTCAGGAAGGCCTTTCTACAAAGGTGAGAAAAAAGAGGAGCTGCTGATGACGGGCTGTGCTCAGCCCATCTCAGCTGCAGCCCAAGGACCCTGCTGCTTGCCTGGGGGCTCTAGGCTCATTGCAGACATCCCCTCCCTGAAATATTGCTGTTCTGTCTTCACCCACAGATGTGAATGAATGTAAGGTCTTCTCTGGCCTGTGCACTCATGGGACCTGCCGAAACACCATTGGCAGCTTCAGGTGTCTCTGTGGCAACGGCTTTGCTTTGGATGCTGAGGAAAGGAACTGCACAGGTAAGGGAAGAGCAGCTTCCTCTGGAACACTTGCCCATCCTGCAGCCTTGCCCACCTTGTGGAATTCTTAGCATGATGGTACCCAGAGGAGCCACAGCATTTAACTAGGGATGTGCTGAGAAGCCAAGGGCAGGACCACGAGCAGAAGGCTCCTTCTGCTTATGGGATGAAAGACGAATCCTGCACCAGAGAGAGAGTTTAACTGCTGTCTCTCCCTTCAGGAAGAGGAGTTCCTTGGTTTGCTGGGCCAGACTTGCCAGTCCTTGTTCATTGAATTTGATGTGCAGTGCAGGCAGCTGTAGTGGTGCTTGTAGTCTGTTCTGCCTCCACTAGCTGCTCTTCATCCCCACAGACATCGATGAGTGCCGCATCTCACCAGACCTGTGTGGCCATGGCACCTGTGTCAACACGCCGGGCAGCTTCGAGTGCGAGTGCTTTGAAGGCTACGAGAGTGGCTTCATGATGATGAAGAACTGCATGGGTAAGGACTTGTCTCCAGGGCAGGGCTGCACCTTAATCTTTTGCAACAGGGAAGAAAGTAGCTGATGCCACAAAGGGCTTTGTGCCAAGCTGCTCTCTCTGGCAACCTGTCTGTCTCTTCCTTACTATTAAGCCAAACCTCTTCATTGCCCTCTAGGGGAGTGGTGGGAGTCCCCGATGCTGCAGAGATCTCTGGCAGCCTCTGCTCTCCCCAGGGTAGTGAGTCTTTTGCCTTGCTCTGATTACAGAGGTGGAGCTGGGCTGAAGGGCAGCACATGCAGACGGAGGGATGCTGTGTGTAGAGCTGAGGGCACCACAGATGTAATCCCGGGACTGCTGTGCTCTTACCTGCGCCAATAGTCCACCAGTGAAGGGCTCCACGCTGCCTCTGCTAGCAGGGCTCTGCACCATGCAGAGGCAGTGAAAAGGTTGTGAGACTTGGAGCCAAAACTGGAAGCCTTCCCTCAGAAACCTCTATTCATGAGGACCTCCTGGTCCAGAGGCTAGAGCCTGAGCCTAGCACCAGGGCTGGTGGTGCCCCATGAGCCAGGGAAGGAGACTGGCAGCCTAGGCCAGCATCAGGGAGGACTTTATGTATAGCATGAGGCACAGGGGAGCATCCTGGGCTCCTCCTGTGGTAACATTCATGGGACATCGTTGGTCCTGCCCTGCCACCTCCTGGCCACCGTTACCTCAGCTGAGGGAGGCCAAAGGGAAGCCTGTGGGCCACCAACCAGCTTTTCTCCAGTTCTTTCCCATCCCTTTCCTGCTTGCTATACCCAAAGGGCATTTTCCTGCACCCCCAGTGCGATGTTGCCTTCCTTATTTTACACTAGACTAAGGCCTCGTGTTTCCTTTTTCATCTTGTACTTGTTCATGTACAACGTTCATTCTTCATTTTGTGCTCTTCCTTCACTTGGACCTTCCCTTGCACCAAACGCTGGCCACTAACCTTTCCTCTTGTTTCAGCCACCAGCAGCTGGAGCTTGAGCCTGGCATTGCCACTGAGCTGGGACAGGAACCATGCCTGGTATTTTCATTCCTGC